GCGCGCGCGCGGCGGCCGCGTTAATAATTCCCGCCGCCGCAGCCGCGTTGCGTTATCTCGATTCAACATGATGTATCGCGCGCGCCGCGCGAGGGGAACAAGCGCGCGGCGATTTATTTAAACGCGCCGAACGACAGCCGTTCGCGCGACTTGCTCCCACGCGCGCGCGCTCTTTTGAAGCTGGCTTTCTTTTGTTTCGCGCCGGCCGGCCGGGCGAGGAAGTGTTGGTTGATTTATCGCATGTTGGAAGTTAAATATCAATTCGACTGAAATTTCGATGCGGTTGAATGAAAGTTCCGCCGCGGAGAATTGGGGATTGAATTTTGATCGAGTGGAAATCGTGTGTGACCGAACTACGCGACGATGGATAAGTTGGGAATTGAAATTAGAATCTTCATCGACAGCTTTCGTTTCAACGATTGATTATTGTAGATTCGGAATTGGAATCTCGATCGAGTTCTTGTGCGATTGAAGGAGGTTTTGGAATTTTATGAGTAGAGAATTAGAATTGAAGTTTCAATCGATAGAAATTTTAATTTTTTTAATTATAAATGTAAGCTTTAGTTCTTCGACTAAATGTAAATAGCATTTTCTGTTCTAGCAGCTGCGAAATTTACAGCTGACGGAATATCCAACGCGATTTATTTAAACTCGCACGAAACGACGCTGGTTCCACGGTTCCCTCGGCCGAGCGCGTGGCCCCTCGAGGAATCTTTCTCTCCCTCGGCCCTTCAAGGGAGCGCGGAACGAGCCGTTGTACCGGCGCGAAATTAGCGATCGCAATTAGTCGCGGCTGTGGACCGTGGCTGCTCTCCGCCGTTGTTTTCCTCGATCCACCTTCGGGCTAAGCAAGACAACGCTCGCCGGATTGTTTCCGCCCTCTTTGTTGTCCTCTTCCTTTTGCCCACTCGCGCCCACCCCTTCGCCCCATTTTTTCCTCTTTTCCTTGTGCGTCTTTTCCTCTCCGCTTCCTCGTTTCTTTCCTCCGCTCCTCCCCGGCTTCTGGAACGCGTTCTTCTTCGACGCCCCATTTCGCATTGTTCCCTTTCTTACCCTCTTTTCAACCCCTGCCCGACGGTCCTCGCTGTCGAATGGATTCTTATGCTGGCGGGTTTTCATGGATCACGTGTCACGCGGAGACGATGGAGATTTTGTAAATCAAGGCGGGACGCGATGGAGGTGAGACAACCCTTTGCTTAAGGGCGAGGGCTTGAAATTTTTCTATCAACGAAACAAGCCCAGAAGACTATTTTCTTATGTTTAGAATAGAACGTACTATATTCTTGAATCTTTCATTTCTCTTCACCCCTATTTTCCACCCTTCAATAAACTCTTAGCAGTCTCAAATACTCATACGTCTTGCCTGGAATAGGAAAAAGAATTTTTCAAATCCGAATGGAAACCTAGAAGAGCGAATGGACGAACTATGCTTAGGGGTTGAAGCCTCGTCGAGATTTTTCAATTAAGAAAGAATTCGCGAGAGAGAGAGAGACACTCGGTTTTTTATCTCCGGGGTAAGTAAGACACGCCACATTGTTTCCTTCCTTCCTGCAGCCCCCGTCGTCTTTGTCCCACCCTCTGCGTCCCTCTCGCCCTTATGATTCATTTTTTCCCCGCTCTTCATTCTCTTTCCTCTGTTTCTTACTTGCAGTCCAGGATTTCTTTCTCTCCCCCGTCGACACCGCTTTTGTGCTACACCCTCCACGGTTCTGCTCTCTTTCTGTTCCCTTTTTTTCGTCGCCACCCCGTCCAGATGCACGCGGAACGAGCACGCGCGTGCCCCTCTCTCTCTCTCTCTCTCTCTCTTCCCCTCCCTCTTCAGCCGGAGGCGACGCGCGCTAGCATCTCCGCCTCGCTGGACAAATTGCTACGCGTGTTTACGTTAAATCGCTTAACCGAGAGCACCTTCGAGGAGGCCGATCGTAAAGGCGCGCGATAACCATCTGCGGGAGAGGGCCATCGCCGTAAGTCAAGCTTCGATGGCCCGGCGCGGTGTATCGTTTCTCTATGTGCGCGTTTATACGGATTAAGAAGAGTTCACGGCCGGTATCGGCCTCTTCGGGTACATGAGGAAGTACTTCCACCGCTACCGTCCGCCCTTTACGTGCTTGTCGCTATCCGGTGAGAGTCGATCGAGGGAACGGGGCGAATAAACGATACAGTACTCTGGGATATTATAGACTCTATGATTGATAAGTAGATTGTAGATGATTGGATGAATTTGAATCTTCGCGGGTAGATTCATAGGAATTCGTAGATACTTTTTTAGCGAGTGAATGTTTGAATGAGCACGAGATGCGCGAATGAGTGAGAACGAATGAGATAGACAGATGAAAGATGCGAAAGATTGGTTGTATGAAGAATGAAAGAATGTGAGTGGGTGTTGATAAATACGAGTGCCAAGAGAACGAGCGTTAGTTAGTTGAGCGGCGTCAAATGAAAGAATACGTTTACAGAGATTGCGACACTTTTGTGTAGAATATATTCAATCTAACCTTTATACGTATTTATTTTTCAATATTTAGTTCTAAGATACTCAGTTTCTGAGATACTAAGAAAACAACGTTTCCCTTAACCCCTTGATCTATGATTTCTTTCTCAACTCTAATCGATACTTTGTCATTAATAATTTATTAGAATAAGAGAAAAATTCCAAGCATATGTCATGCCTATATTTCCTTTTAAGCATAACAATTGATTACAGAGGAATAATGTTTACTTTGAACTCGAATGAACTGAGCAATATATATATTTGTTAAATCATGTTGAAAATCTTCACCACGAGTCTCACTCGTTGTTGTAGGACAAGGGGTTAACTTTGAAAATACAGAGATACAAGTGAACTAGTTTCGATTAGATAATACAAATCAAATGTAAGATCCACTTGAACGTAAAAGGAACACGTATTTCCATAATGGAACTACACGTCGAGCGTCGAACGCGGAAATCTGAAAAATCAACTCTCTCCATCAAGATTAGACAGCGGAGCGTGAGGATCATCCCCGATCGATCATCATTTCGCTCGAGTGGACCCGCCGCTGACCCGAGGCGACGTGACGTGAACGAAGTCAAAGTGTCGACAAAGGTTAATCCAGCGTGGAACACGGAACGGAAACGTATCTCCCCACGGGTCGTCGCGATTTATTTACACCGTGGCCGGGGTATCGGTTTCTTAGACACGTAACCGACCGATTCGGAAGCTAGTTTACCGTTACAGGCTGGGCTGCGCCCCGTCGAACGCGATCGGCCGGATCGCGGGACGCGTTTCTAACCTCGTTCCCGTGGTTGGATCCGATTTCACGTTCGAGCGGATCGCCGGTGATCGACCGTAGGAAATCCCATACGTTCCCGCGAGGATCCTCTTCGGCCGGCGATCTCTTCGAGCGGGTTGCGCGCTGCAACCCGACCGCTCGCTCGGTCGAATGATATTCATTCGATCCGGCGACGGGACTGCCCAGCTGCTAGACAAGCGGACCGGTAACAATGACCCCGGACGCGCTCGTTCGACCGCCTAAGGGTGGAGGTTCGCTACCAGGAGACCGTGTCAAGGTCGCGCCTTGATTCGAACAGATTTTAACGCGAGCGGGTTTTACGACTGGGCGTGTCGCGAGAGCGGAGAAACTGTGATTTGCAGCTGGAACGGGGTTAGGGGTGAGTTTTAGTGTCGAATGTGACTCATTCTTGGGGAACCGATAGTTTGCAGATGTATATAGACGTATTTAGGGTGGAAGGAGTTTTAGATTTTGCTGGGTATAGCCTTTAGTTAGTTGAAGATTGATAAGGAAAATTTTTGATATTTCCATTTTCTGTCGGATGATTAGTTTATATATGAACGTTTATACCTTCAGATATGTTAATCTCTATAGTCCTATAAGATTCATTAACAAAGTGAACTAAAGTCACCCAAAACTCTCAAGAAACCGAGTTACAACTTCCCAAGGTCAAAGGATCGAATCCCAAAGCGAGTTACCTCCACCCAAGAAACATCCCCGAAACAATGATCCCCGCGCAACCGGGAATCAGCGGGAATCGTCCATACTTCGATAATGAAATCCCGTCGCAAAGTGCATTACAACAATAACAAACTCGCGATCAAAGCGCGGGCAAGAAGTCGGGGGTCCCTGGAATCGCCCGAAGAGCGATTCCCCAGGCCAACCCCCGTTTTCTGGAACGTTGCCGCGCTCGAGTTTTATCGCCGCCCCCTGGCATCGCTGGCGAGAAGAATAACTCGTAAATAAGACAATCGAGTGGAAGTCCTGCGGAAGGACGACGAGAGGAACAGAGAGAGAGAGAGAGAGGGAAGCAGCACGCGTCCGCGATCTCTTCGGTACGCGTACCGGAAGGAGGAATCGGCGGATTCGCGGAAGAAGGCGCAGCCTCCGGCACGAGCGGCTGGTCTGGGCACCGAGCGTCTCCACCACCACTGGCGGCCACCACCACCATCGCCACCACCACCGGCAGCAGCGGCAGCAGCGACGCCGCTGGCTGCCGTTCCGACAACGGCGTCGCCACCACCACCAACCGCCACCCCCGACGACAAGGGGATGAAGAAGAGCGACGGTATCGAAGTGAGACGTGTATATATGTATATATAGAGGTGCGCGCACGTCGGCAAGTTCAGTCGTCGACCGCGTGCCGAGCCGCGAGCATCGTGCAGCCAGCAAAACCCTCCCCAAAAACTCGAGCAACCCTCCGCCAGCGTCGTTCCCTTTCATTTTTCGATCGGCGGCGCGCGAGCGCGAGCGCGTGCTCGCACTCTCCGACTCTCACTCTCTTCTACGCGCGGCCTACCGGCCGGTCACGTGTTGTCCCTCTGCCTCTCATCACGGGGCTGCACGCTCGAACGGAAGTGCGGCCGACCAAGTGCCCGGAGAGCCCCTCCTCTTGCTTCTTCCCTTTTAGACGCGGGACTGATTAATGACACCGGTGTTCTCTCTGTACCATTCTTGAGATCGGCTCCTCCTTAGCTTCGAGGGAGGCTCCTGTAAGAGATACTTGTGAAACGGTTCGGAGGAGTCGCGCGGGGATCGATGAGGAGTCACTGTAGGAGGACCGCGCGGACGATCGATAGGGATCGATCGGGTCGAGGAACGATATGCTGATCCGTGGTCGCGAGCGATAGAGTCCTTTCGTTTTGGTGAAGACACGTGCTCGCTGAGGGATTCCTTGGGAGAGGGTGCGCGATTGAGTTTCCTTTTCGGTTTCGGTCTTTTGTTTTCGTTCTCTTTTCCTTTCGCTTCTGGTTCGCTTCTTTGCGGGTTCGCTTCTCGGGGTTCGCTTCTCGTTCTCGGGCATGTGGTGGTTCAAGCGTAGGCTCCAGTGAGATGTGATGGAGATGAAGACCAGCATACTGCTTCTGGCGCTACTTCGCCTCGCCAGCGCGCTCGAAAGTAAGGATCGATCGATTTAGCGGTAGACTATTTTCTTTCTGTAGTTTTCACTGTGACGATCGCGTTTCTTGATATCACATGAATCGAGCGTGGCGACTCTTTATGTCCTGGCACATGTGATTCTTTGTTTTCTAATGTGCTCTGTATGGGATGGTTTGCACGACGTAGATAAGGTGCTTCGGAAGTTGCGAGCAAGACGAATCTACGTGAGATCATGAGATTATAGATAACCTTATTATCGAAATGATCGTCAAAGTTTCAATCACCAATAACTAAAATCGCGAAGTCACGATCAGACAACTGTTGCCTTAAACATTCAAACCCATTCAAGATTGATTCTTTCATATTCAAAATACTTTCCCCAGTACTCAATCTCCCACAGCTCTATTCAGCTCGAAGCAAAACTAACAAAACCCAAATTTCCGACCAGGACATAAAGACTCGACCATCAAGCTCGCACGCAAATTGCAATAACAATTAACCAATACCTTAAAGCCCTGTCTCAAGCCCGAAACAACCCACGCCGCAAATCTCCCGCTGAAAGTGTTAAAGCCTCTCTCGATCCCGAGCGCCTAAGACCGGCCGCGCTCGGCCCGACAGAGACAAATTCCGCGTTTGAATTTACGCGACAGGGCGGACACTCTCGAAAAGCCAGTGCTCGAAAATCGTGACATGTTTTTCCCGGCTCGTGACAGCGTAGGTAATCGTCGTTCAGAGCCGGTCCACGGTTTACAGCTCCGAGTCAAACAAGAGGGACGCCGGGTACCGCGGCCGTGCAGGGCAATAAAGTTCCTCGCCGCTCCTCTCGGCGCGAAAGAGGAAGGAAGAGGGGACCGCGACGCGGCCCCTCGCCGCGTGTACGGAGAGAGGCGTAAAGACCGCGGAGATCTCCTAAGCGAGCGGATCCCGCTGACTGATACACGACGTAAAATCCGGTACGCATCGTTAAACCGGGCTTTACCGTTTCCATCGCGCGCCGCGACGTCTAAATTTACCGCGGACCGCGAGAGCGCGCGGCGAAGCGCGAGCCGCGCCGGCGATCGGCTTGTTAACGCGGCCGCGCGGCGATCGGGGGAAAAACCGCGCGGACCGATCGCCGGGAATTAACCGTCCGCCGCCGCATCCTTCCGATCTTTATCGGTTGTTCGCGGCGTAGTAACTTAACGGGGTAACGATCGGCCGAACGGAGCGGTGTTTCGGAGCGGAACGGGAGGGGGGAGGCGCGTAAAACCGAGCACCGTGTCGAGATATCGATGGAAACCGCGCGGTGCCGCGAGTTAACTCGAGATTTGCGCGCGGTAATGCGGGAGGAAATTGCCGGTTGAGGAGAAGATGGATGATGATTGGGGGATAGTTATCGCGTTCGCGGCGGAATCAATGTCCGACGGGATTCTATGGGCGGACGGGCGAACCAGCTGCGCGAGCCTAGGGATTAGGCTTTCTTTTTTCGGGGTTATTGAAATCATTTTATTCGGAGCTCATTGATAAGTGACGTGGGCGTTTCGAGTATGGAATGTTCTACGGGAATCCCCGAGGGGTGTGTAGGATGATATTCGGTATAATTTTCTGTGATTCGCGTTGCATTATCTTTTATAGTCTTTTGTAATCTCTAATTCGAATAATATACAGAGGAATTTAGAATCTTCTGATCTTAGTAATGGATGTTTATATTACTCGATGTTTCTATGGTTGAAATTATATCAGAATTCATTTACGGTGGGTAAGAAAGTTTCGAGTCACGTGAGATTATTAGACGCCGAGGCTACGAGCGCTTCTCGGAACGCCGTCTAATTTTTGGATGATATACTGTAATTAACGGTGCGAACGAAACAAGAGGAGCAAGGTGTCAACGTCAGCGGGATGAGCGGTGGAATTAATTTGGCGACTGGGAACCGCGAAAGTTCTCCGTATCTTCGATCTGAAGTCGCGGGAACTCACCCCTTGTTACAGATACGAAGGAGGAGGATGACGCGGAGGAAGAGGACGAGGAGAATTATCCGGTGGATGACTACGACTACGGTGACTATGAAACCGCGACTATAACCAGCGACACCGATCTTATCGCGGGTGGCTCGTTGCCGATCTTCCTGGCGGAGCCTGTCGACACGTTCGTCGTCAAGGGGAAACCGGCTACCCTCCACTGCCGCGCCGCACATGCTCTTCTGGTATGGTGAATGCAATTTATGCACTCCCGAAATACTCTTCTTGCTGTGGTTATCGGAGATACTTGCGGTCTATAAATGTCCCGCTCTCTTGACGCTTTAATTTTGACACCGCGGGGATGAAAAGGGTGACACTTAAACACCGTTCACTGAAATTTTGGGGAAATTGTCGGGTTAAAATCAATAGAAACACTCATCTGAAAATTGATTATACCTATTCTTAACTAATATTAAATATCTCTATCTAAAATAGTTTGCTCGATCTAATCGTCTATCAAAGCCAACTACCCTTCACTCCATAAAACACCAATTAACCTAATTCTTCCTTCAACATTCATTCCTAATTTCTACATCGCTATTAATTATTCAGTCACTAACATTAACTTGCCCTAGGATTTCTTCGTCAACCGATTATAATTTATTGAAATAATGAAAAATTCTATTTATATTCCATATGTTCGCTCTAAAGTACAATCATCGACAACAAAAAGATATCCAATTCGAACTCGAATTAATACTTATATTAAATTCCACTTAAAATCTTCAAGAGTCTAACACGATGTCTAAGGCAAAGGGTTAACCCTTCACGGACGAAGCTTCCTTGAAATATAGAAAACCGTCAGCAGAAGCTAAATTATATATCGGTTGCTTAGATAGAAAAAAGGAAACTACTCACTGATCTGCTGTTTTAGCAATTAAATCGTTAAATGTCGACGTTCGTCCGCAAAGGGTTAAAACGCAGCTTACGCAAATATCATCCCAGAAGCCGCGATTCCTCCGCGAAGAAATTAACCCTCCGTCCAGAAGGCATCCTTTAAAATCCATTTTGCACCTGGCTCGCCTCGGAACAATGGCGACCGGGACGGTCTTGTCGAAAAGCAGAAACAAAGGGGCCTGCGTCAGGCTCTCGCCGCGCCGTCCGAGTGGAGGATAGCTTTTCGGGCGTGTTCCGTTTCACGCGCGTCCGCGAGAGTAGGGTCTAACCGCGGCGTCGACCCCGTCATTTTCCACTCGAGCCTTATTA